AAACAAACATACAGCCCTCCCGAGGGCGGGCCTGGGGTGGCCACGGTTCCAGCAGCACGGCCGGGACATCAGATGCCTGACCCACAGAAACTGATGTTTAAAGCTGCTAAGTTTTAGGGTAATTTGTTACATAGCAGTAGGTGACGAATACAGCATGAAACAGGCAGAAGCACAAACACGAAAAGGAAGGGGGATGATAACCTAGAACAACAAGAGAATCAACTTTAAAAAATCAAGGTCAATAAACTGGGCAGATTCAAGATACAAACACAGGAATATGTTAGGAATATATCATATTCTACACTTGGGAGTACTTGTACGGTGTGTGAGTATCACTCAACTCTTAGCAGCAACACAAGTTAAAGTAACCCAGGAACGGATCTGACCTACATGAACAAAGCTACAACTTTTTACTGAGCAACATCAGGACTTTTTTTTTTTTTTTAATAAATTTATTTATTTATTTTTGGCATTGTTGGGTCTTCGTTGCAGTGCGCGGGCTTCTCATCGCAGTGGCTTCTCTTGTTGTGGAGCACGGGCTCTAGGCCTGCGGGCTTCAGTAGCTGTGGTGCAAGGGCTTAGTTGCTCCGCGGCATGTGGGATCTTCCCAGACCAGGGCTCGAACCCATGTCCCCTGCATTGGCAGGCGGATTCTTTTTTTAATTTTTTTTTTTTTGCGGTACGCGGGCCTCTCACTGTCGTGGCCTCTCCCATTGCGGAGCACAGGCTCCGGACGCGCAGGCTCAGTGGCCATTGCTCACGGGCCCAGCCACTCTGTGGCATGTGGGATCTTCCCGGACCGGGGCACGAACCCGTGTCCCTTGCATCGGCAGGCGGACACTGTGCCACCAGGGAAGCCCGGCAAGCGGATTCTTAACCACTGTGCCACCAGGGGAGTCCCACAACATAAGGACTTTAATCAAAATAAGGAGATTCCTTATGGAATATGACAAGATTATATCACTTTCTGGAAGAACTAACAAGCAGGATTAGTTAAGAGCAATGGTATCAGAGCCAAAAGAGACTGGCAGGTAGAGCCAGAAACAGCCGAGTGGATTCTCACGTGTCAAAAACCTGGTAAAATGTCCAATAGACACCACATGCCAACAGCGAAGGGAAGCTCTACTCCATAGATGGTATGAGCCAACTCTAGCTATTCAGACCTTCAACTGCAGCCTGGCCCCCATCCCCACCGTCACACAGAAGGCAGGCGTGCGATACCTGCCCCACAAATTTTAAATGGGGGTTTCTTGTGCTTGATCATCAACCAACACACCCATGGAAGACACGGCCTAAGTATGTAATTCAAGTCCACAAACCACGAATGTGTGCAGTAAGGCTGCAGAGACAGTCTGTCAGGCAGGAGACTCCAGGTCATCACCTTCACCCCCTAACAGGCCTTCATGATGGGCTCGCCTCTGCCCTCAGGCCTGATCTACTCACTCGCCCCTTCCTGGTCCCCCACCCTCCCTGCCCTCAGGATCACACCCCCGAACTCGCTGCTCAGCCTACAAGGCCTACTAGGCTCCTACTCCTGTTGTGCTGTGGCCACAGGATTCCTCGAATGGCTGTGCTTGCCGGAGACAGCAGGGAAAGAAGGTGAGCAGGTGGGCCAAGCAAGCCCCACAGATGCAGAGTGACAACCAGCCTCTGTGTCGAGAGCCACCAGGCAGGCCGGGGCCCTGTTTTCCCTCCAGCTGATGAGTGTCTTAGATGCTTCTAGAAGATACAAGCTGGGTTTCAACATGAAGTCTCATTTTAGATGTTGGCGACGAACCAAAATTTAACACTTGGGGGCCAGTAAGACTTCGGACTTTGCAGCTCAAATGAATCGCATCTCTGAACCACATGGGACCTTCTGCTCTGCAACCCCTAGCCTCTGCTCCAGGGTGTCGAACCCCAGACACCCACCCTCCTACCTGCAACTTCGGGGGGGTCCGTCCTTCCTTCACTCACCCTCTTAATGGGCTCTGTAATATAAGGGCACTGGCTCAGGAAGCACCCCATGACAGCTCGGTCCACGGCCCCTTCTCACACAGGCCACGTGCTCTGTGGATGTCACAGCGCTTGCCATGGCAACTGCACACACTCTGCAGTGGGGCCCAGGACCGAGGGTATCTGCCCTCCAGCACCCTGGCTAGAGCGAGGTGAGGCAAACAGACCCCCTCGGACACTGATGGTCATGGGTGAAATGGAGCAACCCCTGGGGTGAGCGGCCTGGAAATTTATTTTTTGAATCTTAAGTGGGCATTTCTTTTTACGGAGTGACTATACTTACAGAAATTTAAGAGTATGATTCACTAAGGTGTGCAAACTTTTATGTCCAAGGCTATGTAATATAGCATGTTTCTAACAGTTAAAAGCTGGGCACAAATGTTCATCTATTAAATCGGAGTATTAGACAATCCCATTTGAAGAAAAAAGTGGTCATAAGAAAAATTATCATTGTGATGAAATAAATGAAAGATATGAAAAAGTGAAATTATATACACAGTATGACTACAATTGCTTAAAAACCACACAGACTCCCAAGTTACATCTCAAAAAGAAAATGGGAGAAAATATACTAAACCCTTTGTCATGGTGTTTAAGTGGTAAGATGGTACATTTCTTTCTACTCTTTGTTTAGCACGACAGCCTGGACGCCCTGGGGACAGTCAGTACACTCGCGGAGAATGCAGGAGATGACGACTACAGCATGAAACAGGCAGAAGTACAAACACGGAAAGGAAGGGGGATGATCACTCACACACATGCGCGCGCGCACACACACACACACAAACGCCGAGCTCCGCGCTGGATGCAGGAGCAGCTCGTCAACCTCTCATTCACCTTGGTACCACACGTCTACCCCCAGCCCTAACAGGCACCCAGGAATGGATATACTAGAAGAGAAATATTTCAGACACCGTCTTTTTTTTAAATCGTGGCACCCCAGCCTCCTGCCTGCACGGGGAGCCCCGTCCTGTCTCAGTTTCCCGGGAGTTGGCCTCACAGTCCAGCTGTATGGAAACGTAGCAGCAAGAGAATGTCTATCAACTCTACCAAAACAAGGGATGAGGCCTTATCGGGAAGATCCTTTATTTGCTGACAGAGATGAAATCTTGCTCCAAATTTCTACACATCTCAATGTACCAGACAGCTGTGTACTTGGCAGCTATGGTGTGAGGGGGCCCAGAAGCTCCACGCTAGAAATGATTCCAGAGATACGTTCGGTAGATTACTCCTTTCTGCCCGTGGACGCCGCCGAGTAAGCATCGTTGACATCTACCCCCCCGCACTGCCGTCATCTCTAAGTCAGGGTCTCCCAAAGAGCCGCACAGCTGCAGAAGCTCTTCGTCGGAGGTTTGAGCTTTGAAACAAGCGACGCGAGCCTGACGAGGCATTCTGAGCGGTGGGGAGTGCGCACAGACTGTGTGGCGATGAGAGATCCAAGCACCAGGCGCTCCAGAGGCTTCGGGGTTGTCACATACGCCACCGTGGAGGATGTGGGTGCGGCCATGAAGGCAAGGCCACACGAGGTGGATGCGAGAGTTGTGGAACCCAAGAGGGCTGTCTCAAGAGAAGATTCTCAAAGACCTGGTGCCCACTTAACTGTGAAAAAGATTCTTGTTGGTGGCATTAAAGAAGACACTGAAGAACATCATCTAAGAGATTATTTTGAACAGTGTGGGAAAACTGAAGTGACTGAAATCATGACTCATCGAGGCACTGGCAAAAAGAGAGGCTTTGTTTTTGTAACCTTTGATGACCAAGACTCTGTAGACAAGATTGTCATTCAGAAATACCACACTGTGAATGGCCACAACTGTGAAGTAAGGAAAGCCCTATCTGAGCGAGAGATGGCTAATGCCTCATCCAGCCACAGAGGCCGAAGTGGTTCTGGAAACTCTGGTGGTGGTCGTGGAGGGGGTTTTGGTGGGAGCGACAGCTTTGGTCGCAGAGGAGACTTCAGTGGCCAAGGTGGCTTTGGTGGCCTCCGTGGTGGTGGTGGATATGGTGGCAGTGGGGATGGCTATAATGGGTTTGGTAATGAGGGAAGCAATTTTGGAGGTGGTGGAAGCTACAATGATTTTGGCAGTTACAACAATCAATCTTCAAATTTTGGACCCATGAAAGGAGGAAACTTTGGAGGCAGAAGTTCTGGCCCCTATGGTGGTGGAGGCCAACAGTTTGCCAAACCCCAAAACCAAGGTGGCTGTGGTGGTTCCAGCAGCAGCAGTAGCTATGGCAGTGGCAGAAGGTTTTGATTACTGCCAGGAAACAAAGCTTAGCAGGAGAGGAGAGCCAGAGAAGTGACAGGGAAGCTACAGGTTATAACAGATCTATGAACTCAGCCAAGCACAGTGGTGGCAGGGCCTAGCTGCTACAAAGAAGACATGTTTTAGACAATACTCATGTGTATGGGCAAAAAAACTCGAGGACTGTTATCTGTGACTAATTGTATAACAGGTTATTTTAGTTTCTGCTCTGTAGAAAGTGTAAAGCATTCCAGCAAAGGGTTTAATGTAGATTTTTTTTTTTTTGCACCCATGCTGTTGACTGCTAAATGTAATAGTCTGATCATGACGCTGAATAAATATGTCTTTAAAAAAAAAGAAATGATGCCACTGTTCACGTGAACAGAAGATACATACCCCAGGGGCAGAAATACAGTAAAAATCTAGTTTTAATTTGTTAGGCATCATTTTACCAATACTGAAAACAAAGATCAGAAAGAAAGCCCTACACTGAGAGAACACATTCCACACTCGAATATGGTAGCTGGTGGACCCAACAGTAAGGGATATAGATTTCTGAGAGTGAAATAAAGTCAAGAATTACAATAAAATGAAAACTCAGCTGCAGAAGGAGCCAAACACGGGACCTGGGAACCGTGTGTAAATACTGTTACGTCTTGGCCGGTGATCTGCTCTGGTTTATTCCAGGAGACACGGAACATCACTAGGACTGGTTAATTCCTTCCCTCCGCCAGAAACAGTAAGATTGCGGTTACTCACGTGATATCCCTTCGCTGATAGCAGCCCTGAAGTAGGCAGGCGATCAGGTCGCTGATAAACTCCACGTCATCTCTGTGAAGAGCTGCTTCTAACTCCTGAGGAGGAGAAGGGAGAGGGACTGAGAGCTCAGACACGGATGCAGATTTCCTAACAGCCAGCAGCGTGTCCCTTCCAGGTCGCCACCACACCACCACTGCGGTCACCGTCACGGGCCAACTGCCCTCCTTCTTGGTTTTCCAAGAGTTTACTCCCCCACTGCTCCTTCCCAAGCTCCATTCCTTTCACCTGCACACACAGACACCTCTTTTTACAAGTCAGTGCCAGCACAGTCATAAAAGAGCTTAACTTATATTAATATACTGTTTTGCTTTCTATTATTTTGCAAGAGTGTAAAGGAGCAAATATGTAATTACTCAGAAAGTATTCATTTATTGAAGAGTTTCAACAGGCAAGCCAACTACAACAGCTTTCCAGAGCCACGCTACCTTGAGAAGCGGCACTAGGAAGTGAGCAATCTGTGGTCCCCACAGGCCCAGGGAGGAGGCTGCCAGCGCCAAGGCCGAGCTGACATCACGTGAAGGGAAGTGAGGCGATGCCGTGCTAAGGGGCTAACCCCAGGGGAGGTGCACGTGCTGTCCTTGGGGTTTAGGCAGAGATGCCAAAGATTTAGCTTGACTTCGCACATACCCTGAACAAAGGTTCGATGAGGAGCTACAGGGACAAAAGGTGACAGTGTGGAATTTTGGGAGATTCTATTCCCTTCTCAAGTTCCCACAGTGAACCAGTGTTTCCTGAGATGATGGAACATGCCCCAATCACCAGCTCCCGGCATGCAGAGAGGGCCCACGTCTGGTCCACCAGGATGCCGTCCACCCACCATGCAAGCCATTTCCCAAGGGTCCACTACGTTTGTGGTGTGGCCGGCTCATAACCAAAATTGCGAGGGTCTTATGAGTGGTTTGGAAAGCATGAGGTGTGCCAAAGATGCAGTTTCTGTTCTGCCCACACCAAGTACCGGGCAGTGTACACAAGAGGTGGGGATCCACTTCTGCTGTAAAAATGGTAAAGGTCTTTTTAAAGCTATTTTAATTGTTCCGTTTATTAGTCTATGTTTAAGTTTCTAAGTTTGTAAACACCCACTCCAAAAACTTCACATGACAAAAAACTGCTAAACACACCAACTGATAGAAGCAAACAAAATACCAACTACCCTGAGAAGGAAGGGGCATAGACGCCTTGAAGGCTCAGGTGAGCAAAACTCAGAATGCAAAGACAAGGCCCAGCGTAAAAACCTTGTGCCTCTGCCCTACATACAAATTTGGTAACGATGAGCATGTCTATCACAATGGCTCTTATTCTTCTATTAGCTTACTAATAATTCCTTTGGGCAGAGCTCTTTTCTACATTCTTCCGACCAAACATAACAAGGATTTGAACTATGTTTGGTCAGAATTCATTTATTCAACAAACATTTCCGGGGCACCCAGCACTTCCTGAGCCCTGGGGAGCTGGAGTCAGCGGGGGTAGTAGACAGGACACAGCACCTCTGGGCACAGAACCGGTGCTGTGGGAGGGACAGGCGCTGCTCCGGGGGCCCAACACCCGGGTTGGGGCTGCACACGGGGCAGGTGGGCCCGGCCCTCCGTGGAGAGGGTGGGACCCGCCCGGCTGCTGCGGCAGAGGGTGGAGATAAGGCCACTGCGGCTCAAGCAACAGCCCAGAGGAGACTCTGAGGGACTTAGCTGAACAAGACAGACAGCAGAAGGGGAGACACGCACATCCAGAGCCCAACAGGAGCACAGGAGGGACAGAGCAAGGGAAGATTCAGGCTCCTACTGAAGCCCAGTCACACTGGGCAAGACCTCAAAGGAAACCGCAGTGAGAGAAGAGGCTGGACCCTTCAAGCACAAAGTCCCAGGCCACCTCGTTCAATAGATTAGTCAGAATTACTGACCCTAGAACCGGAAGGAAAACATCCACAAACCAATGATGGGAATGTGTCATGAACCAAGAATTATGATTATTACAACCTGTGAATCTGAGGTTTATAAAAGGAATGAAGAAACTGTTGCACTGTTTTTGGGAGATTCTATTCCCCAAAGATGCAGAAACTGCATCTTTGGCACACCTCATGCTTTCCAAACCACTCATAAGACCCTCGCAATTTTGGTTATGAGCCGGCCACACCACAAACGTAATGGACCCTTGGGAAATGGCTTGCATGGTGGGTGGACGGCATCCTGGTGGACCAGACCCTCTCTGCATGCCGGGAGCTGGTGATTGGGGCATGTTCCATCATCTCAGGAAACACTGGTTCACTGTGGGAACTTGAGAAGGGAATAGAATCTCCCAAAATTCTGGCCTCAGAACCCAGGCTTCATGGGTGATTCGACCATTGTTTTCTTTTTTAATATTTATTTGTTTATTTGGTTGTGCTGGGTCTTAATTGCGGCATGCATGTGGGATCTAGTTCCCTAACCAGGGATCGAACCCAGGCCCCCTGCATTGGGAGCGCAGAGTCCCATCCACTGCACCACCAGGGAAGTCCCCAACCATTGTTTTCTTAACATTATCAGCAGAAAGTGAAGACTAACACCCCTATCTACATTTGAAAAAATTATTAAATGATCTGTCCTGTCCAGCTCTGGCAGAGAGTCTAAATGGCACTGGTGAAAACCTGTCCCCAGTGAACCTGGGCTTGCCTTTCTGGCACAACCATAATCTAGGTAGCCACTGGGAAGGCGGTTACATACGAGGCTGTGCACCAGAGATGCTGAATCAGCTCTTCCAAGGGGAACTGGACAGGCTTGAAATGTCTCTCAAATGAGTACTGAGAGGAGCTCTGATATTATGAATGCAATCCCACCCCCTGCCTCCCATTTCACCCATGGGATACGGTGACTCACAAACAGTAACTCACAAAATATACAATTGCTTCTCACATGTATTTCTATGATATTATGCTTCATAAATCAGAAGCTACCTAGAAGACAAACCAAAGTAGATGCAAGGCCCCTGGTAACGTGAGGTGCGCTTTTCCCTCTAGCTAGGCAGGGCTTCACCCACACAAGTGGTGGACAGTCCGAGGAAGAAGGCACTGCCTCTGGACAGCCCGCTGTCCTCCCCTGCAGCTGCCACACGGTGACCAGGGCGCCGGGCACAGCCTCGGCACTCACGGCCCTCGGCCTAATGTTACAGAGAGACAGCAGAGGAGAAACAGGAGAGCAATTTCAATCCCGCTGAACAAAAGAAAGTGCCGGCTTATCGGTTAAAATGTTTTCACTTCAATGGATAGAGTTTCAGATTTGTAAGGTGAAAACGTTTTGGAGCTGATCCAGAACAATGTGAATATACTTAACACTCCTGAATTGTGCACTTAAAATGATGGTAAATTTTGTCTTTTACCACAATTTATTATAGGAAGAAAAAACTTTATCACATTAAAAGTTTCCCTGTGCAGGGGTTGTTGTGAAGATTTAAATGAGGCAATGCTTATAAAAGCCAGACCAGCCTGGCACACAGCAAATGCTCTATAGCATGTGAGCACAGCAATTATCTCATCTTCCTTAAGTGGTGGTGTGTAGAAAACAGCAGACTGAAGAGATAGAAAGCGGTCTTTGCAAAATTCAGGTTTCTGAACAACAGAAATTCAAACTCTTAATACATGGCCTGTGTGCGTGAGCCAATAAAACTATCTCCAAATCCAGTTATTCAAAGCCTTACCACATACGCCTTCAGCCGGGAGCCTGAGGCTTAGGCTAAGGCAACAAGAAATAAACACCCTTCAAGCGCCCCACCCCCACTTTCCTCCTCCCCTTTTGTATTTCCTTTTCACTGTGGGCACTGAGCTGTGAGCACAGAAATCTGAACTTTGCCAAGATGCTCTGGGGCAGGGGCGGGGGGGTGGTGGTGATCAGCAAATCAGCCGAGAAGGGACACGAGAAGGGCTCCCGGGCTCCCGCTCTTCAGAGGGGCCGGAGGGAGAACAGGGCTCGCCCTCTGTGCAGCTGGCGGCACAGCTCATTAGGGATGGGCCTGTTCAGCACCGGCACACGGCCCTGCCCTCAGGACCTGGCGGTGGCTGCTGGGGAAAGAGCCCCAGGGTGAGCCAGGAAGGGAAAGGGGGCCCTTAGCCTATGTCGTGGAATCTCTCTCTTCGCCACAAACAGGGAGAGCGTCCAGAAGAGACAGCCAAGTGCAGCACAGGGAACACAACTAACTCCTTCAACGCACGGCCACCACTGAGCACCTGTTCTCAAACGTCACTGCAGGGACCTTCTACTGTTCCATCTGCTCCTGAGGCCCGTACAAGCCTTCTTTAATCTTTTGCGAAAGAAGGTGGTAAAGAGAGAACAACTTTCTTTCCTTCCACTTCCAAGGAAGGATGAAGGTCACAGAGCTGCACCCTCCGGGCACAAAGACCCTGCTGAGTGTACCTAAGGAGGGAAACAGGGCTAAAGGAAAACGGCCGTGTGTGCTGTATGTGATTTCAGAAGGCTACAAATCTATCTCACCTGCACAAGAACCAACTGCAAGGCAGTAGGGGTCACAGTCAAAGACGGGGGCTTCTGTGTGGGCCCCAGAACTGCACTCACACAAAGGAGATGCACAGCAGGCCCTCCGAGGACCATCCCAGCTGCTCTCCATGAGAGACCGCCTAGAGAGCGGGCTCAGCCTCCAGAAGGCCTCCCTGACTCTGGCAGCTGATGCTTCCTAACTTGATATAAATTAATTTAATCCCAAAGGCTGCCCGGGCCAATTCAAACCGTGAGGTATACATCAGCCCAAGCGGGTTACCGCTGAGGATCCCCGAAGTGCTACCCCAACACCCTCCCCGTGGCCGGCAGCTCTGCACCGCGGATTCGCTGCAGACACACCTTCCTCTTGGCAGCCCACAACATGGCTGTCACTGGCTGTGATGCTGGGGAACAACAGAAAGGAAACCACATAGCTTCCCTCAGATAGGACTGCTACCCTAGAATATTAGATTAACTGGAAAATACTAATCAAAGCAATAAACGTGTAAACCTACAAGAAACTGATTTTCTAAAAAGGTATAAATTACCAAAACTGGCTCCAGAAATTTTTTAAA